CAGGGGGTTGGGCTGGGTGACCCCCAGAGGGCCCTGCCAACCCCTGCCGTGCTGGGATTCTGTGAACCGTCCTGCTGCGGCTTTTCCTTCCCTCCCACAACCCCTGAAGGGGCCGGACTGAGTTGAAGTGGAAGATGCGTTGGCCAAGTGAGCGAGGCAGGGCCACAGAGCACCTTCATCCTCCTCCTCCTCCTCCCAGCCCTGGGAGCCAGCACCCAGCGAGCCTTCGGCAGACAGCCAGGCGCTGCGTGGTGTGACATCTCAGCTCTGCGAGGATGGTCCCCCCGTGCCCCAAACAGCCCAGTTTTGACTCGGATGCCTTGGAGCTGCTGGGTGCCACGAGCACACGGGTACCACGAGGACGCACAGCCAGCTCAGAGCTATTTCCAGGCCACCCCGGGGCTACATGCCTCGAAAGCCCTGCTCCACATCCCCAGGAGGGACCCAGGGGACGGTCCAAGCTCGTGGGAAAAGCCAGGCCGTGAGCTGCAGGACGCTATGGAGACGTCGCTCACCTCGTGGTAGTGTCAAACTCGAAGGGAAAAATGATGTCGCTGCTGTTGCAGATCTGGCAGATGAAGCCTCGCTGGGTGCACAGGTCGCAGCTGTAGACGTGATGGGAAGCAAACTGGAGCAGCGACTGCAGGAAGGTCTCAAAGACGCCGTCGGCTATCTGCGGGGCAGAGACACGTCAGGCAGGCGCGGAGCCCATCTGCCACTGGGTTTGCACCGTGCAAAATCCACACTGCACCCATTCTTTGAGCTGCCATGTGAAGACAAGGCTGTCCTCCAAAACCAACCCAAAGCACACATGCCTGCGTCGCAACAGGACCCAGAGAGCCGGCAGCAGCACCCACGACCTGGCAGGATGGGGCTCCTGGCTTTGGAGTTGACGTGAAACCCAGATCACCTCCACCATTATCTGCCAGAGATACAAGTTTGCATGGAGATGCACTAGCGGAAACGCCGGCTTAAGTAGAAGTGAAAATTTATCTTGTGCGACCTCCGTAGTTCTTGCAGGACACAGGTTTGTGCCAATTATTTTTGCAAATTAAAATAAAGGCAATTATTTGCCTTTAAGCTGATGTGCAAGCCTGCAGAGTGCACGTGATGGACGAGAGCAAGGCAAGCGGAGAACGAATCTGTTTGAAACCTTCTACTGATGATGATGATGAAGTGCCACGCTCCTCAGAAACCGGGATGTTTTCACCAGCAAAACCCTTACGACCACGCAAGGCTCTCACCTGCCTGAGATCAGCGACGCTGTATTTATGGGGACACTCCAAGAGGTAGTGTCTGTGATCAAGCCTGCAAAGAAGCACAGAGGGGAAGACGGTCGATGGTTTCCATCACATCTCCAATAGCTTTGGAGAAAGGGGGAGCCTGGATGATGCAGACTCTTGGAGAAAATCACAGAACCACAGAATGGTTTGGGTTGGAAGGGACCTTATAGATCCCCCAGTTCCACCCCCCCTGCCATGAGCAGGGACCCCTTCCACCAGCCCAGGGTGCTCAGAGCTCCATCCAACCTGGCCTTGAACACTGCCAGGGAGGGGGCAGCCACAGCTTCTCTGGGCAACCTGGGCCAGGGCCTCAGCACCCTCAGGGTGAAGAATTTCTTCCTTACATCTAATCTAAATCTGCCCTCTTTTAGTTTAAAGCCGTTACCCCTTGTCCTGTCACTCCTTGTCAAAAGCCCCTCTCCAGCTCTCTTGTCGGCCCTTTCAGATACTGGAAGGCTGCTGATCACCGCAAACTTGATTTTTGCATTGTGCCCCGCATCCCAAATCCCAAATCCTGCCAGTGGAAATCGTGTGAGAGCATTTCAAAGTGGGGAAAAAGAAAATAAATATCTCCTCTGTTTTCCCAGGTGTTTCCTGTCCAGCCAGCAGCTCCTCGGTCAGGAAGGTGCTTCCTGAGCCGCATCTCAACCAGCCACCAGACGGATAACTCCTTACAGCAGATGACACGGAGCGAAAACAGCGAGCGATGAGGAGGACCAGGAGACCATCGGGGTGCAAAGAGGGGGATGCAGCGGCAACGTCACCCAGAGAGGGACCTCACCGCTTGCTCAGCTCCTTCAGGGCCCCGCTGCGGCACATGATGAGATAATCTCCCAGCAGCTTTAACTGTTCCCTGCTCCGATGGATCCGTCTCATCCTCTCCACGTGGTCGTACAGGCTCTCGTTGACCAGCTTCAGGTCAATCAGTGGCTGGTTACGGATCTGGGTGAGGAACTTCAAAGCCTGCCGGCAAACCTGGGGTAGAAAGAGGCAAGAGGTGGGCAGCCCCCGAGGAGTAGCCCAGGAGGCTTGGAGGGAGGTGTAGGGTGGACATCTCCACCTCTGCTGATGGTGGAAACGTTCAGACAGACCTTCAGGAAGGGCAGGCAGATGCAGGAGCGTTTCCCTGCTGCCTGCGCTGACCGAGCCCAGCCTTACCCCTCGTTTCGTCAGATCCCAGTTGTGGATGAGGCGCGAGGGAATCACCGTTTCCTCGTCCCGGTGGCAGCTGTCGCAGTAGTAGAGACCGGAGAAGGCGCAGAGCTTGGGCTTTGCAAAGGAGAAGCCGATCTGCCTGGAGCAGCCTGTGCAGAGCGGAGAGGAGACAATGAGAGGGGACCCATGCTGCCCCAAGAGCCCATCCCACCACTGTCAGGATGGGGGGAGAAACTTTTGGAGGGGGGGACAGGGAAAGAAAGTTTCCGGAAGGGTTGGAGATCAGCTAAAGCACGTGTAGGATATTCGGTGGGAGGTCCCCAGCCCTTCCCTGTAGGCGAGGAGCCATGATTGAAGACCATGATGGTCCAGAGCACTCTGGACTATGCCTGAACTCACGTTTATCCATCAAGTGGTTCAATTGCTTCAGTTTTTTTTTAGGAAAAGTGAATTTTGGAAACATCCCAGCAGTTTTGGGAAGAACCTAAATTCCACCTGCCTGCCCCATCACCTCCTCTCGTAGCTTCGCCCATCTTTGCTTCACTCAGCCCTTCTCTTCCCCGCTGCTGCTTCAGGGTACCAAAGCCACCTCTGCAAGGGATGAGGTCGGGATGGATGAAGCCAGAAGAAGGTTTTATTACAGCAGTGGGTACCCAAGGAGGAACCCCGCTCGGGTCTCGGGGCAAATCAGCAGGGTTTTTATAGCGACTTGAGAAGCAAGCGCATCTCCTTTGGAGTCGGGAAGGCAGGAAACCCCTTCCTGCTATTTTTAATGAGTTTAGTTCTCCCAAATAACTGATCAAGCGTAGGTGAACCTCTGCCATCCTCAGGGAAGGCTTCACCACGCCTTCAAGCTTTGGGGTAGCTGGAACGCATCTCAAAAAGAATTCAAGAAAATCAGGTGTTGCTCTTTGATTTAATACAAAAAAAGGAAGCTTTTATTGCTTGTTATGCCTTGACACATAAGGAAACCCCTCCTGCATCAGGCCCGGGCATCAGGCTGGAGGGGAGGTGAAAGTGGGGCAGGCAGCCCCCTAAGAAAACCTACACATAAAAATCAGCAATTTGTCTTTTTGGCTTGCTGCTTCCATCTCTTGGTAGGTGGAAGATGCGGGACAGAGCCTGGAGGGGAAGGCGGGGGGACAGAGCCTGGAGGGGAAGGCATTGACCAAATAGAATGGGAAAAAAAAAAAAAATGAACAAAAAGAAGCCCGATTAAAAGAAAAATCTGCTGGAGGGTACAAGAAATATGATTGAAGCAGAAGAGAAATCTGAAGTTTAATTAACATACCATGGTAAAGAGCAAAATACACCTCCCGCGGAGGTCAGCGAGTGTTACCCTATTACAGCAGCACGGCCCCGCGTGCTGAGGGCGCTGGGGCAAGGTTAAATGAATGTTTTACAAAATCAGCTTGTCACACCCACCGCAGTATTTGCTCTCCTGTGCTGCAGTACCGGAAAAACAGCATTTGCTCTTGATGGCACTTTCTCTGCAGGCTGGGGCCACAAATGGTCCACCTAAACTAGCCTCCAAGCCAAGACCCCCACTGCCTATACCACAAACATCTTAAACAGGAGCCCAGTAGCAGCCCAGTTGGACCTGTGCTGGGACAGGGATCCAGCATGGGAGGGGTTGGACTAGATGACCCACAGAGGTCCCTTCCAACCCCTACCATTCTGTGATTCTGTGACCCATCCCGTGCAGAGGCCACCAAAGGTGCCACTGATTTGGGATGTAAAGCCCCACCAAGTGGCTTTGGATGGGGAACCCAACCCTGAGTTGGCAGGACTCGGGGCATGTCTTTAATTTGATGTCACCTCGTTAACCTGAATGAAGGCAACACTGTCCTCCAAGACGGAGCTGGGTTTTGGGACAAGCCGGTGTATACCTGCACAGATGAAGCTCTGCAAGTCCAAGCCCTTCTCCATGGGGATGGCCACCAGGTATTGCAACAAGAAGCCGTTCTCCTTCACAATGTTCTTCAGGACGACCTGGGAGTGCCCGTCCAAGGTGCCACCCAGCGTCAGCGCCTCCTCTGCGCTCTCCAGGTAGGACATGAGCACCCCTCGGACCAGCTCCCGCCACGAGGCCGCTTCAGCCGCGTTCTCAGCCTGCAGCTTCAGGACAGCTTTGGAGGTGATCACCTTGAAGAACGCGGGTCCTCCAAGGCTCGTGTCCGGAAGGATGTCCTGGATTGTCTCTATACCGTAACTGTTGCTTAAAATTTTATCGTTGCTTCTAACTTTAAAGCACTTTAAAGTTTCTAGAGACAGGGAAAAAATAAAGGGCACCCAGGTTTTGTCTACGTCCATGTACAGAACAGCCTCTTTTATTGCATCCAGCTCCGGTTCGTGAGCTGAAGTCCAGTCCAAGCTGTTCCCAGGCACGTCGCTGTACTGGAGCAGAGCAGCGGAGTCGCTCTGGACAGGCTGGCCTTCACCACCATCTTCTGCACACTCCAGCGTCTCCCACTCCTCTTCCTCCAGCTGGGGCCGGCACTTCTGCAGTGCCTCACGGATCCTGTCCAACCAGTCCTCGGCCTCGTCTCGAGAGGGAGCTCGGAGGTAGAGTTTTTTCCCCAGGAAAACCAGCTCGAAACGGCCGTCCGAGTGCGTCAGTGCCAGCGACTCGCACCGCAACAGGGAATAGCTCTCGACGCAGATGCGGTCCTCGTGGTCCAGGAAGAGCCGGAGCTCCACTTCTGCAGCGCCTCACGGATCCTGTCCAACCAGTCCTCGGCCTCGTCTCGAGAGGGAGCTCGGAGGTAGAGTTTTTTCCCCAGGAAAACCAGCTCGAAACGGCCGTCCGAGTGCGTCAGTGCCAGCGACTCGCACCGCAACAGGGAATAGCTCTCGACGCAGATGCGGTCCTCGTGGTCCAGGAAGAGCCGGAGCTCCAGCGGCGACAGCTCGCAGGAAAACTCCTTCCATATCCCCATGGCTCCTCTCCGCTCCAGGCTGCCCAGCTTCAGGAGCCCTCGGAAAGGGTTGGAAAGACCTGGGGCAAAAGCAGATGTCTCAGTTTAACCAAAAAACGGGAAGCTGGTGGAAAGACAAAAGCCAAGGGGTGGCTCACCGCGAGCAACCAGAGGCATCGCAGCTTTGAGAGCCGGTCCTGGTGGATGGTGGGATGGGACAGGAGTTTACAGGACCTTGGTCTCCACGATCTATCTACACGCTTTTGGGTTTTGAGGCTGAGAACGAGTGGGACAGCATAAAGGAAACGTGTCCCGTGGGGTGGCCAGAGGCACCCAGCATGCCTCCTCTCCTCCCAGAACGCTTCCCTCCAGAGCCATCGTGAGCTCAGCAGCGCCAGTGGCAGCTGCCTCACTGCCTCTGGAGCTCTTGGTGCCGCCACCAGCTCAGGAACGGCAAACTGGGCTTCCCAAGCAGCCCATCACCTGAAACACCCCCAGCCCCTCAGCACTGCCCAGTGCAGACGCCTGGCGAGAGCAGCAGAGGGGAGGGTGGCACGTACCCATCTGCCTGCGATGCACAACGCTGAAGCCCTTTTGCTCACGTTCGGGTGACATTTTGGGCTTCCCGCTCTCCGAGGACGGCACCGACAGCCTTTCCAGGTCCAGAGCGCTGATGAGCCCTGGGGCCAGACCCTCGCCAGCCTCCTCCGGCCCAAAGCCGTTGATGTCGGCCGTGCTTTCGCTGCCGTCTGCCGGAGAAGGCCTGTAGAAATCATCTTCTGAGATCCAGCTCTTTCTTTTCTGTTAAAAAAATAATTATCAAACTTAATGACCAAGCAGCGCTTCTCGAACACGCACGCCCACGGGGGCTGCTCCCGCGCAGGCCGAATCTCACGCAGCGATGCTGGCCATCCCCACGTGGATGGCTCCCCTGCTCCCTCCGATCAGGGACCGCTCCGTGGGACTGCGTCGGAACCAGCAAACACCGGGATTACACACTGGTGGGATTATAAAGTCGAAAACTTCCAAAAAATCAGTTCTCTCCCCTTAAAAAGACAGAGAGGCTCAGAGAGAGAGCACGTTCCCTGCAGTAACCACACACAAGATATTCGGTCCATGAAGTATTTCCAGTTGAGAGTGAAAAACCAGCCCTGCCATGGAAGGTATGAGCTCACCTGGAGCAGCGGCAATGTCCTTGTTCCTGGAAGAACAGAGATGGGGAGAGGCACAGAGCAGATGTTTAGGATGAAATAGAGACCTGTGGCTTACAAGCAGATGCTGCGAACCCCAGGCCTGATCAGTACCGGCAAAAAGTCAGGCAGGGAAGGCAGAGGAAACCTTTGCCTCTGTATGGCAGGAGGGGATGAGAACTACAAGCAGAAGAACGCTTGTTCTGCTGAAAGAAAACATGGCTGTTAACTTCTCTTGGAGCTTTTCTGGCTACAGGAATGGAGCGAGGTTCTCGGACAAGGTCCCCGAATGAACACACCAGGAGTGAACCCTGACCCAGCTCAGTGCTCCGGCAAAAGGGAGCAGCTTCGTCAGACCCAGAGCATCTCTTCCAGGGCTGCATCCCACCAGGATCGACCTCTCTACTACCCTACCCTGTTTTCCAAGGGCCTCTTAATCTGAACAACGAACTCAATACAGCAGAAGAGCCATCCCCTCCCTGTGGCGAGGATCCCGGGCAGCGTGCGGAGCAGCTCCCAGCGTCCAGGCGGGCTGGGCTCAGCCCCGGACCAGGAACGCCGGTCGCTCCGTGAGTCATGCGAAAGCAGCGGGGAATTTCCTGTTGACACCGTATGTTATACATAGATTAGGTCAAACTGGCCCAGCGCCACGAGGAAGCAGCGGAAACGGGATGACTGGGAGGGAGCTGAGAGGAGCAGGGACCAAAAGGAGACACCGTTTAGGGGAGTACGAAGTCTATCCTAACCTCACCAGGTCGGACACAACGGGAACCAGGATGGAAAAGCCGGTAACAAACTAGACAGAAGACAGGGCTGTTCAAAGAGCTTCCTCAAAGCAAAAGCAAGCGGATCATCTCCTCCTCGGCAGCAGGGGAAATCCGCTGCTGTGTAAGCTAGCCTAAGCACCAGGGAATGCCATCCTGCTCTGGGAACAGATGTGCTGTGTGAATATTTTTCCACTGGAGAACTGTAATTTCTTCCCATCCAGTGAATCCTCTTCCCTCCTCTTTTGTGGGCCACAAACAAAGAAAAGTCCCCACGAGGAGCTCGACTCTCAGGCCGTTTTATCAGCTTGCACACAGCCTATGGCCAGATTTGTGCAAGAGCTCATCGCTCTCCAGATATCGTTAACAAAATTAAAACTTCCTGTTGCAGCCGCTCTTGGTGAGGAACGACTGACAGGCCAGGCAGGGTTTTGGAAAGCTCTGGTGCCTCTTTTCCCAGGGAATATCGACTTTGACCCAGTTTCTCCCAGGGCGGCTGCATGGACACGGCTCCACGGGGTCCAGGAAGATGCTCATGGAGGGGGAGGATCACTTACACCCAACTTGCTGTCGGGAGACTGGAAGCAGCACGGAAGATGAGCGATTGGAGAAACCAGCACCTACCCAGAAGCTGTCACCAGTTTTATTCTCTTTTTCCATTACCTCTGCTGGTCAGGAAGTATAAAACCAAGGAGATCGATAGCTTGCAAGCTGTAACACCTACCGGACAACCCAGCAGCGGGGAAAGGAGGTATTCGGCCGTCGGGCTGCGGACAGCCTGACTTGCCTCGCTGCTGCCGACTGTGTCGCTTCTGCCTGGCTCTCC